TGTATTAAGACAGTAATATTACATCTACGAATATATGTGTATATATAAGTATATCGAAACACTTGACCATTTATAATATTCTTGAAATTTCGCGACAACTGCTGGGTAAATCTATCACAAATCTTTCACGAGAAATAAACCTTTCCTATAATACTCCCTAAAACAATAAATTACCCAAAATATCATAAAAAGTTTCATGACAAAACATAAATGCAAATCGCTCACGTATATGTTAAAATGATTAGGAGGAAACTCGAGTCATACAGTTTTTTTCCATTTTATAATAACAATGAAAAATTTTCCACTATTGTTATTGTAGCTATTTTCTTCTTTTAACAACAAAATTAAGAAATTATTAGTTTATCATGTTAATAGATAATCCAAAAAAAGCTAAATAAGTATTACTGATAAAATCATTTATCGAAAACAAGGAAAGCGAAAGAATTTTAAATACAATCTGCATCAATGTTAAGTGCAAAAAAACGATATAGTAAATCAACAAGCAATTTATTTTCATACAAATTACAGCAATATGATTATAGATATAGAAGAAAGCACTTTAATTTAGATCATTTTCTTTTCTCTTTAAAATTTAAAACATGTCAAAGTTAGATGTTATTACGTAGTAGTAATGCAAGCAAATCAGTTTGTAGATAAGATGAAGTATCATTATGCTGGGAAGATGTAAGCATCACGTAAACTGAGCTGAAAATCATAGCAGTAATAATTTTAACTTCTCTAAGAAGTCAGTGATTAAAATGGATTAAAAGCAAATTCTGATGACAACAAATTTACATTCAAAAATTATAGTCTCACTCAGAATCGTCAATTGTTTGAAGTCAAAACATGCTTGAAAATGAAATTGTTTGAAGTTTCAGATCAAAATCAAAATCGTATTTGAAAAGAAACTATCGACAAAATATCGATAAGATTTTTTTTAATAAGTCAAACTATAACGAAAATGATGAAAAAGCTAGCAAAAAGATAAAAATTTCATCAACAATAAAATGAAAAACTTTTTCAATATGGAAAAAATAACTTGCTTTTTTTAAAGCGTCCGTAAATAGCTCATGTACTAAACGTCGTGCTTCAGTGCTATAATCGTGCTGAGCCAATAATACCAGAATATCAGAATAAAGGCAAGGCGAGGTAAAAATTTTACGATTTGATGAATAATTCCTCAAAAATTTTATTTTGATATTATCAAAGATTGAATCAAGCAAAAAAAGTAGTTCGGTCCGTTTCAGCAAAGCAATTCAGAATTCTAGACGCTTTCAACTTCTAATTCAGAAAACTTAACAATAAAACAGATGGAGACTTATCTATACAATTATTCTTATTCGTAAATCATATTGTATTTTCATAGTTTGGTTGTAAGGAGCGGACGAGAACCTTTGAATGAATAATAAAAAAAGCGACGTACGTATGGATCTTTTTTCATCAACTTAAACACTTTGCTATATTTTCTACAGCGGAAAATCATGCCGAATGTGATGAGAATTAACTTCAAACATCATATTATCCTATTAAAAGGAGTTCAAAAATGAAAATCAAGAAAGAGACTGCACACTTACTTGAGCAATTTTTTTGAATTCACTGCACATTTTGATCCTTGTAATAAAAACATCGATATTATTTCGTCTCTTGCTTCACTCGATACCTCAACTTCTAAGGTATCTATAAACAGAAAACTAATAAAATGTTTCTTGGATACCTGTTCATATTTTATTTGATTCAGAAATCGGAATTTAGCTTATCCCAAAAATTTAAACAAATCAGGGATTACAGGCACCAATTATAGAGGATTCATCAAAGTATATGTACAAACATTTATGAAGAATTTCCCCAGTAATATGAGAAATTTAGAAAATGAAATGTGAAATTCAATTAACAAACTTTTGTTGCCGAAATACTCCTCAGGCCATGAACAATAGAAGCAATTATTAATTCGATGTTTCCACTTAATAAATAATGAATCACAGTTGTGCTCAATGAATTCATCACCGACAAATATGTTCTACAAATTCTTATCATAAGTTCTACCATACATATTGTTCTCCAACATTGCCTTTTTAATTCGACTAAATAAGTTTGATATAGAACTAAAGACAACTACAGTTATCCTGAAAATTGTATAATCGATAGTTTCACAATACTGACAGCTTGATCAGTTTGCAATAAACGAGATCGAAAAGAATAATAATTTGTTGAACTAACCTAAATAAATTGAATCGAAATTGAAATAAATTTGGCATATTAAAACATTAACTCTTATAATTTGGAAATTAAGATTCAAGCTATTACGAAAGCACACGAAATCACGACAGACCTTAAAAAAAAGATCGGGACTGCGTGGGAGTGATATAGACTGACCGGGTAACTTGATCGGTTGTGATTCTGTTGATTCGGAATGCGATTTCCTTAAAGATTTTGTGCGTTCACTTCCCATTAGATTCCGAAGGTCACGGCAATACAAAAACTAAAATTATGTGAGATGAAATAATCACTACCAGTAAATATTGTATATCTATTAAGCATCAATTTGATGTGATGGTATTGAAATTCTTTCCAATAAATGATTACTTTTTATAATGATCGAAATGGAGAACTACTCTCTTCCTTTCAAGTATGACCTATTTTGAAGAATTCTTATACCCTTCATCGTCGAAAGTAAAGTTAATGAAAGAATTCTCTATCGTTTATAAGAGATATAAAAAAATAAATTTCAAGAAAAAATGATAAGTTTTAAAATTCACAATTTCTGAAAACAATTAAACAATTTTTAGAAATATCTATCGAAACTTTGGTGATTAAATAATCGAAAACAAATAAACAAACTACCTTATCATCTGATATAGCAATATAATTCATTGGAATTTCAAGAGCACTGTCAAACATGAGCATTCTGTTAAGCAGAAATGGAGACAGGCGAAATTGACTGCGAATCATTAAACAATCTTGGATTTCTTCTCTTGTCTATAAGACAAAAATATTTAAAGTTTCATAGTTGTGCAAGAACCTATCCTGCAAAAAGCATCGGTATTTCCTTACCAAAATAATAATTTTCATAATATTTCGGTGTGACAAGACCTCAAAAATAATAATACATAGACGCATTGATAATAGCTACCCAATTAAAGATAATTAACTGCAATTAAAATCGTAAAAATAAATCTTTGCAATGGTTAAAAACAATAAGAAAGAACCATTAAAGTTTATACTTACCATTTGCACTGCAATAACATTGCCATGGTTAAACAAACGACTTTCACGCCTGGAAACATCATAATTTTTACTTGAATAATTCATTTTTCCATACCAAAGCACTCCACAATCTAAATTAATGATTAATTGACAATAAATAAATCTGCAGAAATGTTATCATTTTTAGAGAAGAAATTTTTCAAATACTGAATGCTGTATTGAGTACTGAACACTGATTCTAATATTTGATACGAAAGCGTATGAAAAATAAAATAGAAAATGATGGGTTATAGTTTTGGTTCTAAACTGTTATATTTCTCAAATAATACTTCTCCACTTTTAATCAAAATTAAAATTCTTACCGAACTCATCCATTGTGATAGAGTTCCAACCATTCATTACATTTGAATGTATTGCATACGTATGTTTGGATCCAGAAATTGTATCATCCACAAGATTATTGGTATCATCCAATGAAATTGTCTCATTCTTATCCTGATAAGTGGTGAACACTTAAAGTTGACATTAAAAAATTTCAAGTATTCCTAAGAAATTATTTTTTTGCACATCAACATTACAGGAAATAGGTGTGATATGAAGAAAGATGAGAATTTCATGATAATTTTGAATATTTGTAAGTACAACCATATTATTAAATAAGAATAAAATCAAGCAGTACTTAGAACAGATACAAAAAGAAAAAAACGTATAAGATATTTATGAAATGGAATTTTTATTTAATACTTTAAATATGAAATGATTTAATTTTTTTTAAGGTAATTTGCACACTTCATTCTTTAAATTTATTCCGTATTGTGAAGGAAGCTTCCCATCGATGCACTGAATCCAAATCTTATTTATATCCATATTAGCTTCTTTTAATAGCGGTATATTTGATTTTCCCCTACCAACAATAAAGTTGCTACTTTCCCAACCTAATGACAGCAGCAAAGTAGAACCTGAAAAATAAAAAATATTATTACTATGGTTAAAGAACTCCGCGTACTCAACATCTTCAATTGCATTGGTCTATTAAACTGATGCAACATTTTTCAATTTGCAAGCACTAAAAATATCTTAAGAGTTACAAAATGAATCAAAAAATTATATAATCAATCGGATTGAAATCGATTAACTTTTACATCATCTAAAATTGCTTGTGAAAGTGAAATCTAAGTTCTAATGATAAATTTAACATTTTGATTCACCAACCAAGTTTTGTATTACCAATAAGATTGAGAACCCAGAAAGCTGAACCTCGGATACTAAGAACTGGACAACACTCAGCAAAGCGACATATAATTGGTACTGTTTCTGAGGGTAAAAGATCTGAAAAAATTTTTATATCGACTATGTAAAAACATGGAATCATCTGAACTGTATGAGTGAAAAAAGAACTTACTGGGATTCAGATTGGCAACAATATGCCCAAGCGCGTATAGCGCACCTTTTAATTCGGATGTTTGACAAGTATCTGTTGGTAAGGGAGAATCACGTAAAATATCAAGCAGCCGATCAACTTCATTCGATTTCAGCAATAGTTCACGACCGGTATCATGTAGTGCTAGTTGTCCATAAAGATGAACTGGCATTGGTACACCAAATTTAGCAATTCTAAATTTAAAAGATGTAACCATTGGATGCAAAGTATTAAACTTCATTTCTAATTCTATGATTGCTATTTATGAATTTCTACATTTAATGGATTTGTTTTCCTCCTTATATATCTCTCATTTTCCTTAAAATTCATAAGAAATACCTCTTTCCATCAGATAAATGAATACAAAAAAGATATTAAAAAAAAGAAAGAAAGATATTTTAAAAAAAAGATACCAAAGATATCAAAAAAATTAAACGCTATAAATTTTCAGAAATTAGTAATGCATATCTTTAATCATTGGGATCTTACAGAATAATAATAGTAATGAAAGTTATAGATAATTGTGTTAATGAACAAACCGTTCATTTGAAGGCCTTGCATATTGTCCATCGATTGAACGTTTTGAACCCAACAAGGCAACTCTAACATCCTCATCAATTATTTCGACATAACGCGTATTGAATTTCTATAGATAACAAATTTTGAGAATCAAAACACAGTATATATTCAAAGATTGCCATAAAATAAATAGAAGCAATATCACAAAAAGCTTCATAATTACTGCAGTTGATTAAATTAACAAAAACATTTGAAAGCAAATTTCATTAAAAATGAAAAAAATAAAAACCACGTAAGTACTGTTGACCAAAATTAATTTTTAAAAAATTAGTTTCTAATTAAATTTCACTAACTAATCAAATAGTTATAAAACACAGTGGTAACTTCAGAATACAGAGAAATTCTGAAATTTCTATATATCTGATTTATACATGCTAGATTTCCCACAGAATGTTAGGTTTTATTTCAGTAAAATCCTTGAATATTTAATTCCATTTATCAAAACTGATCCAATTTGACCTTTTTCCAATAATCCAGTGTTGTTAAAGTATCATGAAAATTGTCCTTAACGTAACTCTCACTGGAGAAAAGATATGTCTTTAACAAAATTCCCGCATCACCAAATTCATCGAAACATATGTCTTTGATAAGATAAACACTCTCTGGATAGTGCTGCAAATAGATATAACAATCTTAAGTTCAAGTTGATGTCAATAAAAATAATAATAATAATCTGTTTATCACGCCGTGATATCATCGAATATCAACCGTCCAGTAGTTCATTTACTTGTTTTAAGGTCTGAGCTATGAATTTTCAAAGACAAGGTTAAAAAATTTCATCGCCAAAAATTAATAGTTCAAACTTCTCCCAATCCATTTTCTAATAAAACGAAAATTTTAGAGATTGAGAGAAAACTGTCAAAGATATGTTTTTTTAAAAATATAAAGTTCGTGAAATTGCAAAGAATCAAATTAACCAACATACTGGTATCCAACGGTGTAGCAGACGCAGCGCATGTCGGACAAGTTTTGCTGAGGAATCCGCAAGTTGTCTCAACAACAATTTTATCCCCCAAATGGAGAAATTACTGATGTTGTGAGACAGCAAAATATTCAAAAACTGAGTTGTCCATTTCCTACCATCCTAAAAATGACTATTTACACAATAAAGTCAGTAATATAAATGTATTTTTGTCAAAAGAAAGTTTTTATTAACATTGTATAGCATTTCTATAACGTCAAAACCATAAAAATGAAAGCAGCAAATGAAATGGTAAGGATCGTCAAATGCGAGTACAATTAACTAATTAGTAGTTGCATTATTAAAAGAAGAGAAATTTCACTGTGCAATCCTTAACAATAATACAGTCGCATTTTCTTGCCATGCTTTCGTGTTTTATACACAAATAAGAAAGTTAGTTATTTTTTCTTCCAAATTTTAAATGGACATAAGCAAACAAATGAGCATCTTTCAATGTTTTTCAATATTCATTCTTTCAAATTACAACCATTTCTATTTAAAAAATAATACCACACTAGCACTAGTGAGAGCTGTTTGAAGAATAAAACGATTGAAAGAATCCTCAGAACTGTAATCTAAGCAGGATACGATGAGTTTGACGTATTCCACATGTTTTGTATCTTTCACTAAATTTACAAACCTGAAATATGTCTATGAAGTATATCTGCTGATATGAAATTAAAATTAATGTAAAGAACAAAATAAACTTTGTATATTACGTGACCAATTATCTAAAAATTATTTAGTCAATACAGTTATATTACTTCTTCACGAGAAATTAAATAAATAAGATATTAGTGATTTAATGATAATGTAGTTTTTGATAAAAGATAAGGAATATTTTTATCAGTATAGTAAGGAATGCTCATAAATTTGTTTAATTTCAAAACTTAATTCGGATTCATTTTTAGCTCAGTTTTTACTTATCATACTCATTGTACCATCTTTGATTCAAATACATTGCTTTAGCGCAATATTAGAAAGCATAAAATTAAATGGGGAACAATATCAACTTTGTACTTTCGAATTTTTCAAACTTTTTTTCGTGGATGCTATGAAACTCCAAAAATAGTTTTTCCAAAATTCCTTACAGAATGCTTCAAGCCCTTTCAGAGGAATTAAAAATCACTTGTTAATTTCCCAATGCTTCCCTTGTATTCCTATTGTATGTATATCAATTATTGTTTTTATTGCCATGATCAGATTTTGTGATTTTGATCTTATAATTCGAAAATACTTAAGTAGAAAAAATTTTTCAAGATTATTATTTTCTACTTTTCTTTTAAATACTCCTTCATTGAAACATTATCCGCAGTAGTAGCGATTCATCAATACAAGAGTGAATAGCGATTAAGTTATTAAAATTGATGAAATATCAATATTACATTGTTGGCCGTAATTTTGAGATCAATCCTTGTTTAATCTTCGCAGCATCAGAAAATCAGCGCAATCATAAATGTAATGACAATTGTAGACTGGATAGTCTATTCAAAAGTATCCCTATTTCTATAGAAGCGGAATTGAAAATTAACTTCGAAAAAATTCTTTCCCGATAATCCGTTAATCTATCATAAATTAGAATGTGACCATCATTCGTCAATCAAATTCTAATATTTTGAAATTATTTATTACCTAAAAGAAAAAGTATTATTTATGAATGATTTAGGGATATGAGAACTGCAAAACATTCTCATATAAAAGTAAACGATGAACCATATTAGAATGTTGTTGTTGAGGATGAGAAAGAATTTTTAGGAAACTGACAAACTCTTCTGCTTTTCTCACAAATATTTTTTAATTTTGAATATTTTCCTCTAATAACTCAGAGCCAAAATAACTTGTTATCCAATGAGTAAATGCTTCATAAATTACGCTGAACTTACCATCCATGATAAAAGGCTTTATTTAAAGATCATTTTAGTAATGCATTATTTGAGGATTATCTTAGCCGGTATGTGATGAAGTAAAATTTTCCTCATTTTTGAATCTTATATCAATAATTATTCCAGTTGGCTGCAAATAATACTATCTACATCTTCTTTCAGTTTAGATTTATGTATATATAATCTTAAGAAATAAATGTAATATATTTAATTAGTTTAATTTAAAATTCACATATGAAATATAGATTTTTCCTCGTTCTCTGCTCAATTTATTAGTTTAACTATCTCATTAATATAAATGTTGACCCTTGACATTATCATTATTCATTAAATCATTACGATAGGAAGATGGAATGACAATTATCAGCAAAATATGAATGAAACGGTAACAATTGCTGACCGCGAGAAATCTCCACTCCCCGCTCCTTTCTCTTCCATTTCCTTTCTATTCCCTTTTAAAAATGTAGAATTTTCCTAAGTTTCATAAGGAAATAATGGAGTAATCATCATTCGTCAATCAAATTCTAATATTTTGAAATTATTTATTACCTAAAAGAAAGAGTATTATTTATGAATGATTTAGGGATGATAAGATTGAATTTGAAATATTAGGAAAGGGAAGCTGATTAATAGTGTCCACTTCAACATGCCATTTCTTTCTTCATATTCTCACTGTGTATGTCTAATTTCCCCAAAATTTGATTATTTTGTATACTGCACACACAATATTCAACAATTGTTTTCCACGCTCAGTTGTCCACCCATCCACCCACCCACTCAACCAATCAACCATCCATCTATCCATCCATATACATATATATACACATACATACGTAAATGATGAAAAACCGGAACAACAATCAAACCCGATCTTAACATCCTTTCACCCCTCCTCTCCCTTCCCCCGATCACCCCTTCAGGATGAATGAATTTCATCCGAAAAGTTTCTCCCATTTCTCTTTCTCTGCCTACTACGTGTAGTAGTTTTCCCCTTTTTAGGTGCACAACACAGCTACAAATGACGATCACCATCATTATCATTATCATCATCAGCATCATCATCATGATCATCTTTATGGCCCGGGATAGATGAAAAATTTGTTCATATTTGCAAAACTCAATTTTAATCTTCATTTTCCATTCCTAGCACACTGCTCTCTTTTATCCTAAAATTTTTGTGAATTTCCTTACTATTATCTTTTTATAATCTTATCAATGTTCTAAAAAAAAGAAACCAGCTATGATAAAATTTTAATTTTTGTCCCTATCCGCTCTAATCTATTGTATATTGATGCGAAATGAAAAAGGCTTGAGATTTCATCAATCTTCTCATTTCTTTCTTCATTTTCTCTTTCATACCACACTTTCTTTTACTTTAATTTTTAACAACATTCTCTTTCACTTTTCACAGAAATTAATATATTCCCAGAATTCTACACCCTTCCATTCTATATGGCATAACTTAAAAGTGATTGTTAACACTATAATAATAATGTGATAATCTTGACACTTAATCTCTCACTTTTCTTATTGATTAAATGATCAAGCATTATAAGTGGTTAATTTACGCCTGATTTCCCTAATAAACTTTTAACTAAAGTAATCATTCATCGTCTTTTTCTTCTTATAATCATTTCTTTACCAACAATACAAGGATCACTATTGTCAGCTCCATTTATTAATTATTAAAAGTATACAAGTTAAATGGCTTTTCAAAATACAGTGTGACAATGTGAAAAAGAATATAGTCAATATCTAATTTACTTACTATAAGATGCATGAAAAAACTTGTGGATCAGATGATAATTGCAAGCAAGAAAAAACATAATCAAGGAGAGCATATTTCAAGTACAGACCAAGTAAAATTTCTTCTAATTTTCAATATTTCCGCATATTTGTTCGCGCATGAGAAAAATTCTTCTCATTTGTTTTGATAGATAATAAAAATGAAGCAGTTGGTAAAATTGGGATCATTCATTTCTTTGTTATGAAAGAAAATAGAACGCGAATTAAAACAAAAAATATGATCAAAGATTGCTCTCTATACTAATTTAAGTGAATGCATCCAAAAAAAAAAACATTTGTGAATGATGAAGCAGGATTTAATATAATGTTATGTTTCTGTCAATGTTATTTCAAGCTTCTATCATTAGCATTAGCTAAAAGTGTCAAAACTTAAGAAATATTCACTATTTTTGGATAAATACTACTAGTGACCAATAAAGAAGATTAAGAAAAAAGAATGGTTCCATAGTTAATCTTTTTTCCTTTGTTCATATTTGCATAAAGTCGTACCATAATCGGATAAGCTAACAGTACCACTGATCCTTAATGAGTATGTATTATTATAGGTACAACTAGCCAGATGGATGTGACGTTGGTATTTTTATCTGTAGCAATTTCGACTCTCATTGGCAACATTGCTGCAGATCTGCCAAGCTGTGAACGGGCCCGATGTCACCATTGTCGAGTGACTTTCATTGCTGGGATGTGCCCTGAAACTTGTAGACCATGCTTGAAGGAAATTCCTATCCCGGTATGTCTTGTCCTATGTTATACTATCAGGCATGACACATACTTAACAGTAACAAATCAATTATAAATCGTTTCATTAGACAGTGCTTGCTTTACATCAATTATAAAACGGTTAAGAAATTTGATAGGGAATGTGACGAACCTTGGGGATTCCTAAACTAATCGAATCTTATACCTCTTTAAGCATCATTTTAACTCTGTAATAGCAAGTCATCAGTAGATTTATCTTCAATAGTTTCAGAAGCGTTAATAATTTGGTTCAGCGTTTTTCATATATGAATATGACTGAATTTTCTTATATTTTTAAGAGATACAAAATATAAAACTTATAAGGCAAAATATTCTTAGGAAAACCTTCGCCGATGAAAGATGGCTTTTTCAAAATAATTTAGAATTACAAACTGAAAAAATCTTTCAATCGAATAATTGCGAAATAAATTTTTATTGAAAATAATACGTATTCTCTAGATTTTAAAACAAATTGCAATTGCGATGTCTATTATAGAACTGTCCAGCATCATCAGTAGTTTCCAAAATATGTTGGAAATCTAAAACCCTATTGTTGATTTTAAAATATTACATTTTGCAGTTGATTATAAATGTATTGTACTTCTATGTTGAGCATATTAGATAACACATATTTAAATGGAAAAAGTTATATCAAACATTTTAAGCATTCAAAATTAGAAGTCCTTTTAGTTTACTTATCGGCACTCCAACGGAATTTCGAATAAGATATTTTGAAAGCAAAATTAAATATTACGATGGGTTGTAACATGATGTTGTCCGTGCAACGTGAGTGTAAAAGATCTGAGGTATTGCTGCATAAGATATTTCTGTTCGAAATTCTATTCATAATTTCAATTCCCATTCATCACAACTTTTGTTAACTTTACGGAAGAACATCACTACTTCAGGAACGATATCCACCAAAATTTATAAATAATTCAACCAATGTTGTCCAACAGTTCCAAAGATCTCAAGCTAGGACTGTAAGTACCCAACAATTATTACCACAGCATCTGCCGCAAAATCCATCATATAACGCAAAGTATGGCTTGGTAAGTTTAAATCATCATAAAAACATCTTAAATATTAAAATAAATGGTAAAATAATTTAAATAAATACACACTAAAAACTAAAAATATTTAAAAAACTAACGAAAAATTGAAGGTAACATCTCTTTTTCTTTTGAGAAATAACAATAAAAATAATAATATATAGCAAATTTTGAATTTAAAAAAATTTTTATTTTTTTAATTTTAAGTTTTTCTTGCTTTTTCGAGCAGTAGCAATAAAGTAATAATATGGAAATTTTGAATTTAAAAATTTCATAAAAACCAAACAAAGGTTATCTTGATGGATGGTATTTCATCAAATAAAAGATTAAATAAAAATCGAGTATGTTTAAAGCAGCCAAGAAAAATTAATTTTTTGCTTCAGATATCTCCACTACCAACACAAGAATTATACAACTCATATCATTACCAATATTTGCCACAAAAACCTCAACCAAGAGTTCAACTTCCATCTGCAAGACCACTTCCCACTGCACCTTCCCCACCTATACCAAATCAACAAACTGCTTTGATTGATACCGCATTTCCAACACTTCCACCATTCCTAACATTTACTTTTCCAACATTTCCACCATTCACATTCCCAACGGTAAATTATTCATTTTTAAGCTTATTGATTCCAATGGTAAATTATTAATTTTAAAAATGATACCAAGAGATACATTGATTAATTGGGTATATTTGTTTAAAAAAGAAATTTTATCAGTGAAGACATTTGTAAAAGAAACAAATATTAACATTCCATCATATGATTATACGATTAGATGGTTAGAATTTTAGCACTCATTCTTTCCATTTATCAAATAAATAATATTTTTATATATCTAATATTTCTCATAAATCATTGAAAAATTAGGATCGAGCTTTAATTAAATTAAAATCAAACTAAATTTTTGTTAATTATCATTTTTGCAGGTAACATTTGCGCCTCCTCTTTATCAAAGTACGGCAGCTGAAATACCATCGAATCAATTCCCCGCTCAATCAGTTGCCCAAACACAACTCTATCAACCTCAAAGACAAATAACAGACATCGCTGCTTCTGAACAATCAGTTGCACCATATGCAGTCATCAGTTCTCAACCTCAAATCTATTTGCAACCACAGCAAAAGCAACCTCAATCACCGCCTTATGCAGTTCAACAGCGAGCCGTTCCAATGTATCCTACTAATAGACAACCACAATTACCTGCCCAACAATTACAACCACAACGACAAACATCCTATCTACAAGTTCAACAACCACAACAATACTTTTACACGACAAATCAGCAATCCGCTCTATCCATTAGACCACTTCCACAATCTCATTTATCTCAAAAGGTTCTTCCTTGATTTTCATCATCCAAATAATTAATGCTAATTAAATAATTAATGAAAAATTTCTGAGGAATTAATTGCAGCAATGAATTTCTTCGGTGCTAAATGTAATGATTCCACAAAAGAGGAATATAATTAAAATCTTAGAAATGAATGAATTAAACATCTAATCGAGAATGATTATTAATAAGTCTTACTGTTATTATTTATTAGACTACATCACTGATTTTAAAATTGTTCAGTTAATTGTGATAATTATCAAAATAAAATTATTCTTTATTTGCATGATTATTTCCATTATAACTTAATAGCTGTTATTTAGCAGGAATTTATATTTGTATTTGCAGATAGCACGACCTGCATTATTGCCATCACAGTCATACAGTATCGATGCACCGACTAATTACATCGAAGGATCGTATTACAAAAGCAACCCAGAACGATCTTCTGCTACTGCTCAGGTAATTCAAGCAAACGTCTCAATTGATTTACTTTAACATCATCAGTCATTCCTTTGCCAAGATTGATCTAAATGAAATTTCCAGAAAATCAATGGCTTAAAATGTAAAGTAATGTGCATTAAAATTCGAAGCTAGTTTACAAATACACTTGCATAAGTAATTTTAATTTATGCAGCAATGAAAATCATACAATAAAGTTGCTTGCATGTAAAAGATCCGAAAATATTAATTTTTTTTAATTAGATAAATAATTAAGTGTCCTCGACAACCAAACTGGGAACCATGCATAACAAAAGAAGTGGCGAATGATCGATTTAAATCATGCTGTCAAGAACTAGGTGAAGGATGTGCCGCACTATGCAATTATGACGCTACTTTAACTACAGTTTGTCACTTTTCCTTTCTTTTCAATAATTAATGAGCTGATAAAGTAAATAGATAATGTCAAGGAATGGCTCGAAGTCTATGATGAATATTTTATCAAACATTTTTCATTTGAATAATTCAATTTCACATTTTGTAGTCTGTGACTCTTTTGCCAAATACATAAGTTTGTATCAAATAAAAAGCAATTTGAGCTAACCATTCTTTCTTTTTTTTATAAAATCATAGGCTCTTAATAATAACTATTATTTATATTAACCAGAATTTTTAAAAGATTCGTACGAAATTTTAATAAACTCGTTCACTAAATCACTCACCATCTCAAATTCCGATTTAGATTCAATTAGCGGTACTTACGGGCCGATGTCCTCTAAACAAAGTCGGTGATGTGATGATATGTGCTAGTGGATATCAAGATGCAACACCATGCTGTGAAGCATTTCATGTATTCGAATCTGGTTACGAACACTGTAGGCCGTACTGTAATCCAGCAGCTGGATTACCACAAGGTGTTTTGCTTAGCGAACAGTACAAATGTCTCGGGAAATTGAGCCAAATACAGCGGTGTTTCTATATTTCACAGCGGCCATAATTCTCTGCTTTTTATGTATATTATGCATAATTTTTCTGTTTTTTTATTTATAAATAATGCTACAATTTATAAATAATATTAGTTTTTGAGAAAAAAAATCTCTCATTTTAAGATTTTAGTAGGATGATGTATTAAAGTGGATTATAGCGACCAAAAAGGATTTATAGATGGAAAAGATGAATGAGATAATAAATTAAATGAATGTGTTTTCCAGTTCTTTGAAAATTAATACAAATAATGCCTTTGTAAAATGAACTTATGGTTTGTTAAGAGTTTCCGAATTTTGAATATGAAATAGTTTAATAAAAATTCGATTTAGAATCGATTTCATTAAACTATAAATTAGGCCGATTTTCCATGATTTTCAAAAGAATAAAATTCCCAGGGGTAGCTGATCTACCTATTTGTCCCATACAGTAATAAATTTATAGAACTACTACACTTTTCCAGAATCGAAAAGTCGAGCTTATTTTATAAAGAAAGCACATGAAAAAAGCTTTTTTTTGTTTAAGCTTCCTATTTCAAACAATTACTAGAAAGCAACCAGGATCCACAACTTTGATGCAATCAGTAAAAGTTTTTTAATCAAATTTAGGTTCTGAAAAATCATGAACGAAAGTTACCTAAGGAATGCACATCGTAATAACTAACTTCAAGAGTGAAATATAGTGTAACGTTACATCTGATAACATTTAAATGAGCTGCTGGTGACAAAAGTGTGAAACGGTAAATTAATGGTGCTATACTGGATAGGAATAAAAAATTCTAGGAATTCAGCTATAGGAAAGAAATAAATCATGATAGGACTGCATAACAAATGGAATCAATTCCAAATTCAATTATCGGTTGCCAACAAAAATAAAGCATATCATTGAAAGAATGAGCAGAGAGGCAAAGGGCAAATAAACAGGTATCATCACAATACAAGTTGTAAAATTGTAAAGAATAATGATGAATAAGATGAATAAATTAGTAACATGAGTATCAAACGTGATAAGAAAAGCAACTACGTAAGCTACAACCCAACATATTTAATGATTTTTCTGTGGCTGCAGTAAATTTAATAGTTAACTCTGAGCAATAAAAAGAGTTATAACGAAAAACTAAAAAAAATTCTTTCCTCTCCTAATAGACAAAAAACTAACAATTGTAGCAATGGCGTCGCTTCCAGCATCTGTCTTCCTTCTTCGATTGAAGATATAGCACCAATGAATGCAAAATAATATATCGTACCAGTATCCAAGAATAGATTCTTAGGAGATAGTGGTCCATTCAACAATGCATCCTTAAAGATCCCTACTTTAAGAATTTCAAGTTTGTTTAGCATTGCCTCAATTTAAAAAACCAGTTTAGAAATAGATTTGCATACATCCAAGTCTGCAAGAAAATTTAAAGATTACCGATGATATACTCGCTATAAAGTCATTAATAAAATCTGCTAATAGTTTTTTATATTGTGCTTCTCGTGCGGCAAACAGCAGTGAAACATGTATCCCGCGACAACAACATATGATAACAAAACGATCGCCATCAAAGCTAGTCAACGAGCTTTCTGCTGGACTGATAAATTTGAATACCTAAAAAGTTGTTATCTCGATTTGGGAATATTCCCAGAAATTTTGCAACAATACGAAAAGTGTTTCGTCTCGTGTAAAATTTCATAAAATAAAATCTGTGCAAAAAAGAAATAAATGCTTAAATAGAATTATGAATTACTGGTAATAATAGTTGATTAAGGTTATTAGAAATAATGACAGAAATATGTGTGTACACACATAAAACACATACCATTTTAAAAATGTTGTAAAACTCTCTGGAATATTTGATGGGTACATCTTTATTGGAATAGTAAATCTGAAGAAGCTGGAACAGTTTGTCAACAATAGGCCAACAAAGCCTTCCGTCAGATTCCATTGCTTTGAAAAGCAATCTCTCCAACATTTTCTCATTATATTCTTAACAAACGACTAATTAAAACCAAATATTATCTCTCAAATAACAATAAGCAAAATACTTTGCTGCTGAACGTGGAAATTACAATAAGTAGTAACAGCGTAAAAATTTAAATTACAGCAATGGTTGAGTTCTCCAGCATAAATAAAAATAAAGATTTCGCTTCAAAAAATTAGAAAAACTTTTTATAATTTTCAGTGAAGAATGGACATTTTACCGGTATCTCCATCTTCATTACAATAGTTCATGTTCGACAACTTCGACTTATGCAACCTTATCGCAGTTGGGCTACTTTGTACGAAAAGCTGGAGATTGGTAATTGGAAGTTGCTGCGCTTTCTGTGCTGATGCTATACTGTTCAAGACATCCAAACGATTCAGCAGAACAATAACATTCCTAAAAAATTTAGCTATAAAAATATGAATCATTAAATTTTTTATTAATGAGACAAGCCGCGGTACGAAAATTTTTGAAGTGACGGTAATAGAGCAAAGCGAATTGTTGTTGCAATCAGTTGATCGTTCTGCAGAGATTACCAAATTTTTTTCAAAAAAATTTACAACAATTTTTATCTTCATGCGGTTGCACCTAATTATTACTATCGTTAGAATTTGGAAAGTTAAAGTTACGATTTGAAAATAAACCTTTGGTCAGCATATGTTAGAAAGACTTTGTCCATTTTATAATCATTGTCATCTAAGAAACCCTTTTTTAAAATATGCGATTCGCTGAATATTTGACAAGCACCATGAACAAGTGTTGGCAAACTTAGAACTCGCAGCCTCCATTCCATTGGTAGACAAGTCGAACTCTAAAAAAATATTTCATTTGAAAAAAACAAATATACAATATTTCTATTTCCCAAATACAATATTAAAATGCTTTTTCCACAAAATATTCTTATCATTGCTTCTTCCACTTCTTTATATACATTGCAGAGATTCACAATGGAGGCCAAAGTGAAATAGCACATTTGAAAAACATTTCAAGCAACCAGTGAAGAGAATCATCTTGAATTCAGTTTAAATTCCTAATAATTTCCAAAATTTTTCTACGATTAGCATAAGTATTTGAATCAATTTCTGAAACTTTTTTTTCTTTTCTATCTTTTTTTCTTGTCAATATTTACCAAAACATAAGCTTCTTTTCTGGTAGTTCTATCGAACCAAAAACAATTTAAACCAGAATAAACTTGAATCTAAAAGAAGAAAATATTACTGCAAGTAAAAGATCGTGAAACAAAAGTGTTGCTCGAAGTGCCACTGGATGATCTGGATCTTGCAGTATGATCCGTGATAAAGCCTAAAAACAGTTCATATGCATTAAGGAAATAATTGTAATTAGCATCATACATAAGTTCCAAGGAGATTAAATGCTTGCTGTCTAACAAATCTGAACAAAAAGTTCAAAACTTTAAAAATTTCAGAGATGACGAGTATGAGAATGGCCAGCAAAAATAAAACAAAAAGCATTAATATATATTGTGGATTTCTGCAGACTTTACAGCTACCTGAATTAAATTGGCGTTGATGAGCAAGTAAATCACAACTGAACGGAATGACTCTAACAAATCATTAACATTTATATGTTGCTGAAAAAATCAGCTAAAATGTCGATATACTTGACTCTTAAAATTGATAACTTAAAAATAATCATAGTTCAAGAATTTATTTTCATATTTAGACCACCCAGCAATCAAAGAATATATCTAATCAGTACACTTTTCTCCTTATCATAACATAAATAAACCAGTGAATTAATGTGACTGAGTAAAATTTCTAACTTTTTTCTGTATTCATTCATGCCAGAAAAATTTTACAAAACCTTACTTGGTCAATTTTTAAAAACATTTCATGTTCTGATAAAATAAATTCATTGCGTATAGAACATTTGTAGGCGTCCGGACGGTACATCGTTGCTATAATTAAATTCTTTCATTGAATTCCTGCTTATCACGATCACAAGCAGTTTTGATAAACTACAAGCTATATTTCAGACTTTACAAGTTATTGCCCTTCTCAAATTCATTTATCAATAACTGGTCACCAAAAACATGCTTTCGACGTTAATAAAATGCGATCAGATGTCCAAAGTACCGGACTTAAGCCTGAATTATTATCTCCAACTATAAACTCCTAAATTCTCCCCTTCCAATTCCCGATGTGGATAAATAACATAAGAATTGTAATTGATGCAATGCATTTTACTTTTTCTTCTACTTGCGACACATTCTGTTTTTTAACAGAAATCAAATATCACTTCTCACTCTTTTATAGCAGCATCTTATTTTTCCGTTTGTTATCACTTTCAACAAAATCATCCAAGTAATCCTATAACATTGCTTTTAGACATTACTTATCAAAACTTACAATAATAATGCGCCATATGAAACCAATCTATGAATCTCATTTTGGAATACGGAAGTTCCAAAATTTCACAGCAACATTCAACAATTAAATCATGGATTTTGCGGCTGTTTGCATTTGTAGG